TAATTCGCGCGTTTACATTTTATCTCAATTTCAATCCTGTAAAAGCGTTTTCCGATCCGTTTAGTCGTTTCGGAGTTATTACTTAGAATGCAAATGTCGGTATTCAGCATCCTCTTAAGCGTTATAATTAATTAGCTTCGAGGTTAGTTTCACCTTCCTTTTATTCCTTAACATGCTGCACGTAACCATTGACTGCATTGTAGTTTGTATACTTTCTTGCATATATGCATTATTCCAATTAGTAGTATAAATTGCATGTCTAGCTGCAGAGATGCAAGTATTGTACTTACATACGTATTAATTATTTTCCAAATCTTAGTTTATTACTTTATTATTATTTATTCGTTATTTTATCATAATTTATTTTTTTTATCTATAATTACTATAATTAAAAGTAGAGAAGCATGGCCTCAAAGACAACTTTTTATAGAAAAGTAATGCAAAATACAGCTATTTCGTTAGAACTTTCACAATTACAGAATATTACAAATAGTAATAATATTGATGACTATAATAATGATACTAATAATGATACTAATTATGATACTAGTAACAATATTGTTTTTCATGATATTTCTGAAGATATATTAGAAAATATTTTTGATAGCAGAAATGATTCTACTGACAGCTCACCAAATATATCTTGTTGCAGTTTAGAAAGTTCAAATTCTTCCAGTAGCACTGATAACAATGAAAATAGCTTTAAAAAACAATTACGTTTATGGGCGATCACAAACAATATAAGTCATACTGCACTTAAAAGTTTATTAAAAATATTAAAATTATCAGGAGGTCATTCAAGTTTACCTAGCGACCCTAGAACATTACTTTGTACTCCTCGGACTAATGTGTATAAACCTGTAGAACCGGGGACATATTTACATATAGGAATAAAACAGGCAGTAGACAAACTTATTAAAACATAAATAAACCACTTCAAAGAATAGATCTATTAATTAATATTGATGGTCTGCCTTTAAGTAAAAGTTCAAGTAGCCAAATTTACCCAATATTGTGCTCTATTTTTGATTATCCAAATTATGTTTCTATTATTGGGATTTATCATGGCTATGAAAAACCTTCTAGTGCAAATGATTTTTTACGAGATTTAGTGATAGAAGTAACACAATTAACGCAAAGTGGATTTATTTATCAAAAGCAAACTTTACCATTCATTGTTAAAGGTTTTATTTGTGATGCTCCGGCAAAATTTTTTATAATGTATATTAAAGGCCACACTGGTTTCTATTCATGTACCAAGTGTGCAACGAAAGGAAAGTATGTTAAAGATAGGGTTTGTTTTCCCAACTTTAAGTAAAAAAACAGAACAGATAAAAGTTTTCGTAATAAGTTGCAATATCAACATCACATAGGAACATTAATTTAAGAAAACATACCTGGCTTTGACATTAAAAGTTTTCCACTCGAATATATGCATCTAATTTGCCTAGGTGTTATGAAAAAGCTCATCATTAATTTATGGCTTTTTGGAAAAGCTCCTAATAAACTATCAAAAACTTTTAGAGATAATATTTCAGAGTATCTTAATGTTATTAAACCGTATGTCCCATCTGAATATGCAAGAAAAACTCGTTCATTAGAAGAAGCTAAACGTTGGAAGGCAACAGAATTTAGATTCTTTTTGTTATATTCTGGACCAATTGTGTTACAAAATTCAATGTCGGATGAAAAATATTTACATTTCTTGTGCTTACATGTTGCTATTAGACTTCTAAGTGCTATCGAACTTGATTTTAATAATTTAGATTATGTTCAATCATTATTACTTTATTTTGTTAAAAAATTCATAACTATTTACGGAGTAGAGTACGTTTCGCATAATATTCATGGTTTAATCCATATTGTTGATGATTACAAAAATTTTGGTAATTTAAATTCTTATAGTGCTTTTCTATTTGAAAATTATTTACAGTATTTAAAAAAATTAGTAAGAAAACCTGATGCTCCATTAGCCCAAATTATTAATCGTATTTACGAAGCTGAGAGTTTGTTATGTAATAAACCCATCAATAAAAGAAATATATCAATGATGAATGAACATCATGCAGGTCCATTGTTAGGAGATAATTTTTATATTCAATATAAAAAATGTATGATAGGCAATATTACTTTAACAATGCAAACAGGCAATAACTGTTGTTATTTGCGTGATCGCAGTATTGTTATTATTTATAATTTTGCAAAACAAGGTAATGATATCTATGTAATTGGTAAAAAATTTTTAAATGTCACTGATTTTTTCATAGAACCATGTAAATCGTCTCTTTTAGACATTTATTTAGTAGACACATTAGGTGAGCTGTCAGCATGGCTTGTTAATGATATTTTAACAAAATTTGTAATTTTTCCTACTAAAAAGCAAGCATTTATTGTGTTCCCACTTCTTCATACATTATAAACTTTTTTATTTATTATATTTACACACACACACGCATAATTCGTATAACATATGAAATCATATATGAATGAAAAATTTTCAGTTAATTATTATACTCTTTTCTATTTCTCAATATATAAAATATTATTTATGTTGAGACTTCAAAAAGGTCAATATTATTTACTATCGACACTAATTAATTTAATACTTTTTTCTTAATTCAGTTTAATTTTTCATTACTTTTATGGTTAATTTCCATTTACTTTTAATTTTAATAGTATTTAGATTTTAACGCTTTTAAGTTCTAGTTCTATTAATTATAATAATTTTGTGTTTCTTTCTCAAATTTTTTATAACAGTACGCTTTTAAAATTTTTATTCGTTAAACTGCTTGATCTATTACCTATGCATTGAGGATGCTTTTTTTGTACTAATTATATTTTTCTCTATTTATTATCTAATATTTTTTTTATTTTTACTTTACATAGTTTTCTAATATTTCCTTTTTTTATAACAGTTTATTGCTTAGTTTATTTGTTATTGTTATAAAATTTTTCCTCTGGGAATCAATAATTAGAAAATATTAACACGTTTGTTTTTTTCTTCTAACGTGTGTATCTTTCATCATATTTGTAATTATGCTTATTAAGATTTCAAAACAATCTCATAATTCGTACGTAATCATTTTATCAAACTGTTTATTATTCAAAATATATTTATCAGAATATCCTGTATAATTATATATTTATTAGGAATATTGTACGCGTTATATACAATGAGTTGGACGGTAGTACACTTTGTCGAAGAAGAATCAGTAGAAGCCGTTCCGACACTATGGGTACATGGTAATGTTTGTTACTGGCCACCCTTTTTTGGGATCTAAATTAGCACATAGCATTAATAAATGTGAAGAACCAGTGCTAACTACTTGGATTCTCCATAAAATCAAAAAACTTAGCAATGGACGTACATATGGTAATTATTTTTTTATTTGTCAAATAACGTATTCTTTCTCTGTTTATATAATCAACTCTTCTGTAATTATGCATATAATGTTTGTATAGACACCTTACAAAACGCAAAAGGCAGCATTAGCCGAGGAAACTTCTGATTTAACTTCAGATTATGATAAAAAGAGGACACCCAAAAAAAACATTTTTATGACAGTGAAAAATCATCATATAATACCTCGTCTGAGGATGAAATATCTCATTTAAAATTGCCACAACCACCTAAAGGTATACATACTTTCCTTTAATCCTTTTTAAAGCAAATAATGGTGTTGGATAATTCTAAACAGTACATAAATTAATATATGTATAATTTAGTAAGTATACAAAAAATTCTAGATATTACTGCCAAGACATGTACACAATTAGACACACAGCAATCTTCATCGATTTCTGAAAAGCTTCAAAAAGAAGTAAACAAAGAGACGCAAAAAAATTCACAGATGGAATATGAAGCTACTTGTAGTAAGAAGAAAATAAAAGAAAAAAACGAGGTACTGAAATCTGTTAAAATATATAAAGCAAGCTGCAGTACAGAAAGTAAATCTTAGTACATTAATTATATATTATTTCAACTTAAATTTTATTTTATATTTATATATACAAAATATAAAAAATTAAATATAAAATGAATATACATATACATAGAATATTGAGATAAAATGTATCAAAATATTTAATTAATTGTTTTTTATATTTTTATATTACAATAGATCAATCAAAAAGTAAGTTTCCACGTTTGCATGAAGCACCAATAATGGCTAATTCCTCTCGTTTGAGTAATTCCGGTAACATATTTTTATTTATTTATCTTTTCTTTAGTGTCAATATATATTAATGTGTATATATTACATAATATACAGATATTTATATATTTTTTTAGTTGGTTCTCAGAAAACAAATACAACAGTACAAAATGATGTGATACTAGAAGAGAATATTAATTATAATAATTGTAATAATTGTGGTAATTATTTTGTGGTACATATATTTTAATTTATTTCAATTATAAAACTAACAAGGGAAGTTAGGGAACCCGAAAATTCAGAAAAATCTGAAACTTTGTGTAAAAGTAGAGCAGTTCATCCGTAGTACAAAACTATTTTTGGTGCTCTATTCCGTTTTGAAGGGATGAAATCACCCCTTGAAAAAAATCGGTTTTTTTCTTTTGACATGAATATCGTCGAAACTATGAGAGATAAAAAAAAATGTTCTAAATCAAAGTTGAATGGCTTAAAGTGTACTT